TGTGTGTGTGTGTGTGTGTGTGTGTGTGTGTGTGTGTGTGTGTGTGTAGACCTGGTGTGTGCGCGCGGCGATATGCCTATAATAATAATGACAATAATAATAAAAACCATTAGAAAGAATACAATTTTATTGCATATATTATAAGTATTAGTGTATTATGCTTTTATAACCGGTCGATTATAATATAGTTTTTCTATTCCAATAAAACGAGCTATTGTGTACAATAATAATTATTATTATTGTCGTAGGTACATGCGCAAACGAAATATTTGCTAAGCGATTTCGATTGCTGTATCCCATGTCTTCGTGGGGTATATACGTAATATTATAAATATATATGATAAACGGCGGTAGAGACCTGCTGTTTAATATATGTGTATGAATATTATATTTAAATATCGTTGTTAGATTGTTTTAATTACATACCATATATGTACTTTATACTTATGCATTTCTGTGTAAATACTAAATATAAATATGTGCAATGATTGCCACAAAAAAACTCGTACCGCGACGAATGAACTTAATTACGACACAAATAAATTATAACTTTCAAAACATATTCAAATACTATGATAATAATAGTATCTAATATTTATGTCGAATAGTCTTCAAATTGAATTAATTACCAAGCCACGGCAAATATCCGCGTACACGTATGTTTGCGTGTTACTTATATGTACAATGTAAAATGAAGTTATGCGTGCAGATAATAATGTATACATTTTAAGGGCCGTTCGTGTGTTATTAATTTAATATATTTTTATTTAATTGGGTCTAAGATAAATCGCACTTCTAGACGTAACGAAAATTACCCTACTTGTATTGCGAGAAATAGCAGAAACGTTGAAGTATAGGTATTTTTATACGATTATTGTAGTTCATACTTCATGCGTGTATAGATAGCATACGAGTGTAAGTACTCTCGAGCCCGGGGACTGTATATTATACCTCAATGTACTATATAAGTACGTACTAAATTCACTAGTCGATAGACTGCAGCTTGTCAGTTTGAGAAGCACTATTTGAGGGCATAACCAGTTCCCTCCAAAAGTACATGTTGCCCCTTTTCTCGTAATAAAATAAAATCATCAAAATACAACCTGTTCAAAAAATTAGATCTTATAATACGAGGACATTTTTAAGCATTAATAATACATATATCTACCTACATTTTTTTTTTTTTTTTGGTGAAACGATTTTCAGTTCATTTAGTTCGCCCACGAACGTAATACGTCTACGCATATAAAATCTTAGGGTATACTTCTATACGTATTGTTGTGTATATAGTATAAAAACTAATGACAAGATACGTATACTATAAATGATTTATAGGTTACACACACCCGAGTGTGTGTTTTCGTGCACAGTGTGCGTGCGCAATTAAATAATGAACCAAGTCCCTCGGGGGGACGCGTATAGTGTAATGTCTGTTTAACGAGTGTACTGTCATCTGTACCTATGATATAATACAGTGTGCATGCATACACACATGCACACGCTGCACAACTACTGTAATAGCACTACCACGGTCACTATACTATACGGCTCGTAATATCGCGGGAAAAGCTTATCGTTGTCGTGTACAGGTGTAAATTAAACAAAATAATGATAATTATATTATTATCCGGAGCCGCTCGCTCGGAATCGTCACAGCCGCTCGCGTCACCGTTTGGAGAGCCGTGGAGGAGCTGGTAGCAATCGTATAGGCAGCAGCTGATAGATACGTATACAATGCGTTCGGGAACAACAAACTATGCGCGTATATTATAATAATATTTTATAAATGTTATAATGTGTATACGAAAATTATTATTCCCCGAGAACTAGTTTTACGTGGCTAATAACCTACAAATTAGTGTGCAGCATGCAAGATTAATTAGTCGTTCGAGCGGATTAGGTATATTATAATATTATTATATCATATAATATTATTGTGTGCGTGCGAGTCAAATAATAATACTAAACGACTCCGCTCAGTTCACATACACACACACACACACACACAACAAATAAATAAATAATTATAATAATTTTATTATAATTTATAATTAATAATAATACCATGTGGGTTGCGTTTTTTGTTTTCAGACGGCGTTACACTGGGCTGCAAAACACGGCAACATGGACCTGGTTAAAATGTTGGCGGGCACATATAGCGTCAACGTCAACGCTAAAACGGTAAGCCAAACCACCATAGTACGAACGAATGCTTTTCGTGTTTTTATGATATATTATTTACTTCACTCCCGAGCCACAATAATTATAATAATTAGTATTTTTGTTCTTATTGTGTACACACAAGTATACAGTAGGCATAACATTATTATGCGGTGTCCTTATACCGTCAAACGGTCAAAAAAGGAAAAAGTATAGTTTTAAAATTAATAAATAATAATTAAATAATATGCGGTTAGTCAGATGTAAAACATCGAAAAATAAAAATTGTAATTCATAAAATAAACGATTTAGACATATATTGTATTAATGTAAGCTCGTTCGATCACGGCACACTGAATCCGTTATTACAAAATATTATATTTTATTTAAACTTAAAAGTCACAGTTGTGATCATTTTTGTGGTATCATACTATGCTATAGTGTTATGCAGGTGAGATTGCATTTGTGATATAGTTTCTGTAAATTCTTTCCTCTCGCGAATTTAAATGCATTATACTCTAAATTGCATTGTATGACAACTGTATAATATAGTGAATGTGCTTTATAGAACTATAGTGATTTTTCACGCCGTAAATCTTTTTTAGACTGATGCTGCAAGTTGCGTTAGTGCAGCCAACTTTTTTCGCTTTGTTTCGGCTGTATATCGTTTAACAAGAACGACACAATTGAATACTATAAATGTAAATAACGCATATTTCACTTTTTACGAGCACTTACAGTTTCTAACCAACAACTTTCATTCTAAATTTTAAAAAATGAAAATTATATTTTATAGTGGACACCGACTGAATTAATCGCTTCGTTTGAAATTGTTTTATAATCAAAGCCTATATCATACTATATAGATATTATTTTCTAAAAACTAAAAAATTATTATGGAGCGCCCTATGCATTTTATTGAAATAACGAACTTTTATTTTTATTAACGTGTAGTGCACAACTGTATCAAAAGTATAGTGACTTTCAACCACTACAGACATTACCACCTATTTATTATGTTTAACCCACAGCATTATTACAACATATGTGATGAAACCGTGTAATCAGAAGTGAGGAATAATAGTGATAAATGATAATAATTTGTATGGCGATCGTATCAAAAAAAAAAATGCTGCAGGTATACACTAGGTATATACGTATCTGGACACTTTTTGTGTACCTATAAAATATATTATGCATATACGTCTACAAGAATCGATAAAACGACTTATATAAGTGTATGTATACGAACGATTACTTTTGCGAATCGTCCAAATTCCTGAGATTCTCGCCAGCCGACGTACAGTTTACTATGTATATTATGCATTTATATTTACCTACATTGCCTGGGGTCCGAAACGATTAGTATATTATAAAATAATAATAAAATATAAATAATATTTTAGTAACATTCTTGCGGAGCGGGCTCCCTATACGCAAGAGATAACTACAGCGATAATATAATAACGATTTTTAATAATACATTATTCATTATATACGTATATAATACATACATATATTATATGTACGCAGTGGTGCTGTATACGCGTATGTACTATGTACCTATCTATAACGTCATATTATATGATTATTATTATTATTATCATCATAATCATTATATGTATATTGTGTGTGTAGGGTAATACGCGTTCCAATAATAACAATAATTATATGTATACAGAGATTTTGGTTTAATAATAATTATTATATAATAGCAGCGCGACCTAACCGCTCGCGCGCGCGCATGCCGCATATCAGCTCCTCGTCCTCGGCGTATCCAGTTTTATAATAATATTATAATATTATAATATCCGTCGTCTGTCCGCGTTGTCGATTTTTAAACATAAAGATATCGTTTTCGTCATCGTCATCATCGCCTCCCCAGAGAAACGCTGTCGGTTTATTATTCTGATATCTGCAGTGGAGAGAAAAAACGAGAAGTCGTCCCCCCTAACGAAGACATCGACGCCCCCGGGAATTACTATAAAGCGATCGCTCCGATTCCGTTGTACACTGCTGCACCGTGGCACCGTATACATATAATATACTGGGTGATACTTTTAACGTAAGACGTTTAAAAAATTTTAAACGTGCTTGAAAATATTTTTGTTGAATAATTTTAAGTCGTTAAAAATAATGCTTTTCTAAGAATAAAATATGCATCAGGATATATTTTGGAGCAAGTACTTACACTTACTTTGATTAAAAAAAATCGAATTTTTTGGACAAATAGTTTATGGATAATAATTGTTAAAAGTTTTAATGAATGAAGTGGAGATATACAGTGAGTACTCGTCTCAACTTTAAATACAAGAAAAACTAATAAACCATTCGTTCGAAATTTAATTTTGATATATCGAGATATTCCATAAGTAATATTCGACTTAGGAATGTTTATTATTTTTTTTTTTTTTGTATTTTATTTAAAGTTAAACAATCTCTATACATGTTTTGTATAATAAGTTTAATTGGCTACAAAGTTTTTACAGAAGAGTTGATAGGAACCGCCTACTGATGATACACTTAAATTGAAGCTATGGACACCATTTTCTTTTTTTATCTTATGAGTGGGATTTGATAAGATTTTTTGCTAAAATATTTGGGTGGTGAAAGAGTAATTTATGGTAATGTAAATAAGAAATTATAGCTGTTTTAGGTGTTGTGTTCAATTTTAAGTCTGTGTGTAGTGGTAGATTATAGAAGCATAGAAGAGGGCTTTTTTCGTCTAGGAATATTAAATTAAAAAGTATATTGTCATTCCAAAGGGTATAAAGCTTATAAAATAATAAAAGTTATAGTTTTTTTTTTCAGAAATCATGTTTTTTATTGGTTTAAAAATGATTAGTTAAAGAATTATTTTCAACAGTGTAATCGTTTTTTAGGATAATAAGTGTCTTATGTTAAATAGATTGCCCCGTATACCCACGAGGTGGTTCCCATATTGTGGCGTTTTTACGACGAATATCGATTCACCGTCCAGATACGCGACCGCGATAATATCTAAGCGACGGCTACCGTTAAGCCAGTTTCGTCGATTTACATGTAAAACTGCGGGGCGGGACGAAAGTGCTACGGAAGCGTTGGCGGGTGGAGGTAAAACAAAAATTATTATTATTATTAAAAATAAAAAATAGAAATCACCGCCACTGCTGCGACTTGTACACGTAATAATATTTTGTGGGCAGCGCGTGTATCGCACATTCTTATCTCAGCGCGTGTTTCCCATAAGTGTGGCGTAGACCCGACTACGAATATATACCATATGGCATATTATACTATAATGCTGCCCCACTTCAATACTTATTATATTCTTCAGTCTTGTGTAAAAAAATTTGATATTATTACTTGACGTTCGTTGTATAAATATATATTTCAAAAGCAAATGTTGGTAATTGCTAATTAATATTAAAAAACCAAAAATTTTCGTTAAATACGGCATATTCTTTGATAGGTAATCAAGACTTTTTCTCGATTTATATTATTTTTGTTAATATTTATAATTTTTACATTATAAATCCCGTAATTTGATTTTTGGTTATTATCAACCCTAGTTATCCTTAAAGTATAAGCTTCCTTAACTTTCTTCCAAATTCACTCAACATATTATTAGCATTATTATTAATTATTATTATTATTATTATATATATATATATCTAAGTATACGCTACAATAGTAATTCATAATTATTTTAATGTTGATTACAATTACTTTTATTATTATATTTAAAAAAAAATTTATAAAATACGGAATGATATAATATTTATGTTTACAAATCAGATGAATTTTTTGCGCCAAAATGTACAGGTAAAATTTATTTTGTACTTAATGTTATTGACATATTCAATCATTGCAGTTATTAAGATTATATTAATTTATTAATAGTTATTTATATTTTATGAACACTATTACGTAAATTTATAGATTCTATAGAATCTATAGTTACTATAGTAACTATAGTTATTTTAATCAAAACCTCCATTTTTGTAATTCGAATATATTAAATTCACATTTATGAAAATCTAAAATTTAAAACAAGCTATAAAAATGAATACATAATATTTATAAACAAAAAAAATATACAGTGAACCCTGTATCTTACCAGTTAAATAACGAACACCTCCAAAAAGTGAAAAATTTTTCGGGAACAAACTACAAATTTTCTACAAACTGTAAAATTTTTTAAATTGTAGACACCTCCGAATATGCAGATGAAATTTCAATGATCGAGTGTTCAGTATTTTAAAGTTTTACTGTATATACATATTAATTGTAATCGTATGTGCATAATTATTATTTAGCAGCTAATATAGTCATTTACATATTTCTATTTAAGTTCTTCACATGAGCCGTCTATTTAGTTAATCATTATACTGAACTTGGTATATTTTTTTTGTAATGAACGAAATTAATCCTAGGATTTATATTTACACGATAGGCATACTTGAAAAGTAAAGTACTCTCTTTTTGATTGGATAACCGAATACCGTAAAAAGTTCCACATTGTGTGTACACAAAAATGGAGTTCCATTGGGATTTCAAAAGTTTACCCCCTTTTCTCGAACGAACAAAATCATAACTTCTGCGACTTATGAACCGAATATTTATTATTAATTCAAGCTCTAATTTTTGTTTTTTTTTTTTACATGGATCCTTGCACAACAATTGGAACAAATTAGAATGGAGTAAGTATAAAACTAATTTTCAATAATATTGCGCAGAAAGGGTTTGGCATTTAAACAATAAACGACTGAGAAGTGTGACGAACCGCATAATGTTTGAAAAACAAGAGAGAATTTGAAATCACGTATATAATACTATATAATATGTATACCTACCCTCTTTGTACAAACCCCTTGACACTGTTGTCATTTTTTTTATGCGTATGTACGCTCGTTTCATTCAATTTCCATATATATAAATAGAATACAATACTCGGCCGACGACATCTGTTCGAAATTTTAATTGTCCTCTAGGACGTTTACGAAACGATTTAAAAATCAAAAAGGGTGACAAATCATAGCACTTTCGCGACAATCCTGCACCCCTGCAACAGCAACGCCATCCTATAATATAATATATACACACTCATATATATATATATATATATATATATATGTGTGTGTGTGTGTGAGTTTGTATATTAGCATAAAAGATATTATTGTTGTTGAATAATGTTCGCACCCCTTCCTAAGCGTTGATGCACTTATTATTATAAACGCAATAATAATATATATTTCTACTCTTTTTCACTTACTGCAATTATAAAATATAGGTATAACGAAAGACGGCAACCCTTATTTTGATACTATTCAATAATATAAAATAATTCAAATCGAAACGATGCTCTGCAGAAAAACTTTGTCGGTACATTAAAGGATGTGTTTGACGTTGAGTAAAATGATTAAAGTGCCGCATTAAATTGCGGAAACCCTAGATAAAAGATTAATAATAACATATATGATTTAACTGCATATTAATATTATATATTTATATGCACCGCGATGCAGTTTCGTCATTGGCGTCAATATACCTTTCGACCCTTCGGCTATGGCACCTCCGCCGTCGAACATTATTATTTTTAGTATAATATATAATAATGATGGAAGTAAATAGCATCATTGTTATGTATATGTATATTCTTGTTACAAGGTGGGCGTTTGTGGAGCTACTAAATCGTAGCCGCTTATCGCAGAATATCTCTGCAACTTTCTTACTCCCGAGAACCGCGCTTGGTGAACCTTCATATTATTTTTGAAGTGTCATATATTTATGGTTAATGGCTATTATCACATTATTTTGCCCATTGATGACTGTTTTTTAATTAATGATTTTAAATGTAATTTTGAAAAATCTATACTTATTTAAACTAGAGAGCCACCACAATAATTATAGTTAAACATATTATATAGTATATACTAATGATTAGAGTTTTTCGATTTATCTAAATTCTAAATAAAAAAGTTAAAATCGTCATTTTGTATGTTTCTTGAAATTTGAAGATAGCATATTTATTTATTACTCAAAATTAATCGATGTTAATACTTTAAATATTGACTTATTAATTTATATTTCATTTTCAAGTGAGTTTAAACGGGTTGGGTATCTAAACGACGTATTATAATCATATATATATATATATATATATTGAGTGTTTTAACGATGTGGTTAATTCTCGCAGGGTTACACGCCGTGTCACTTGGCCCTACAGTTCGGACACGAAGAGATCTACAAGATACTGATCGAATCGTACGGTAAGCTCGAAATACGCTGTTACTTATACCAATAACGACATTAAAACGACGTCGGAACGGTAATCGTTGCGACGGCGAGTCTATTATACTATTTGTACTTATCAAACACCCGTGTAATATCATATAATATAATATTTGGTTTCCGCGGCGCTGGCAGGAGCCGACCCGAACGTGCGGGACTACAGCGGACGCAAACCCAGACAGTACCAGACGAACCAAGACACGAGCCTGTCGGCGGACACATATCGCAGTGAGTATGCCCGCGAAAAGCCCTCGGCCGCCGCTAAGCTCCTGTTGTTCGGCTCTTTGCCGAGGCCGAAGCGGCGCGCTAAAAAATCCGGCAACATGTCTTCCTTGTCGTTCTCGCATGCCGTCCAAGTAGTAACCCCGTCGTCCAAATCCGCCAGAGACAATCACTGGATCGGTGGTGGCGACAGCGCTAGGCCGTCTTCCGCCCTGTACTACTTCTCCGCTCTGTCTTAGTTCTAAAAAAAAATAATAACAATAATGATACGCAACACGATAACATAATGTTATTTACTGTTCAAACACACACACACATCTCTATAATCGCAAAACTCACATTATACGATACGATACGTATTATTCACGATGGATTTCTTATATTTATGTATAGGTATATTATGTACACGATGTTTGACTTACCTATTTGCATTTAATACATTGTAGGTACACACACCGTAATAATAATAATAATAATAATTATGCCGCACGCATCGCCACTAACCCTGGCCGCCCTCCCCTCATCATTCCAACACCCTCCTGACTGCCGCACGAACACCGATCGTCGTTGCACGCACATTTAATAATAATAAATAATAATAATAATAATACTCGACTTTTCTGTAATCCGTCATGTCGGCCCGTATCGAGTTCAAATACATAATATAATAATAGCTACCATCGCAATATAATATTATGATACAAAGTATATTTCATTATAATACCTATGCTGTGGATACACTTACACGTCGTTGACGAAATCGATAACATAATATTATCATTGCTACAGTTATGTCCAACAACTACCGCCGTCAAACTGTGCCGTAAAGTTTAATAATAATTTGAATCGAATAAAATTGTCATTATATATCCAGCTATTTTACCTATAACTTGTATAAACGGTCGTTTCATATCTCTTTGCGGTAAATCACGTTATAAAACGGTTTTAGGCAACAGAACGTTACAAAATAAAAATGAACGCGTAATGAAATAATAATAATAAAAAAAAATGCCTCTGCTAATATTTTTCTACACTTTGCATTTTATGTAGACAGTAGTGTATATAGTATTATAATACTATTATAATATTATGTAGATGTCGTATTTTCGCGGTGCATGGTTTTCACTTTCACGAACTAACTATTTTTATTATTAGGTACCTAATAATATTGCTTACACACATGCGTATATTAATAATTGTACATTTAGTCGTAGTTATACTGCAGGACAAGGCGTTTAATCCTAATAATTTTATTTAAATGTTATTTAATATGTTGTGTTTTTTCCTAAAATATATATCGATTACGTTATATAATAATATGCCATTATTGTTTTAGTTGATTATTGTTTAAAAATTACTTGACGATTCGAATACGTTATTTATACACGAGTCATCTTATCGTTATTATTTTATATTTTATTAAATTTGAATAGGCACAGAGAGCTATTTTATAAATACACTAAGTTATGTTTATAAATGTTATTGTACCTTTTGTGCGATGAAAACATAAAGCAATTAGCAATATATAATGATTGTGTACTATCTATATTATTACCTGTCTTAATTATTTAACAAAGTCTAGTGTAATGGAAAAACAAATTATGTAATAATTGGGTAAAATACGTTAACGCCTTTTACCATTTTATAACAACAACAAAATTGTCTTCGTCGGTAATTTTATACTGCCCATGTTTATTTGTGTATGACTAAATAAATACTATTAATAAATCTTTCAAATAATCTGCACATTATATTTCAATAAAATTTCAGTATTTTAAATTTAAACGGTAGTAAAATAATAAATTTATAATATAATTTAAGTATTTTGTATAAATCGCGTATACTTTATTATCGGCATCGTGTATTTTAAAATAAATGTTTATATTTTATTGATCGACTTCAATGTTTTTATGATAGTTAAGGTTAGGTAAATTTTAATTTACTTCTTGTCATTCATTTTTATCTGATTGTCTGAATTTTTCGGTCTTTTGTGATTATTTTAATAATATTTATAAAGTTTATTACTACCGATAAAAAAGCGTATTAAAGATACGTAAAATCTAAAATAAATAACGTTCGTTTATTATCTTTTGATGTCTGTAAAAAGTTATCTTTTTAAAGTTTTAAAAAAAAAATAATACGACAATCATTATAGTTTAATTATCCGTACATTGTAACTGAATACTTGTCATCAGAGTCGTATTATTTAGTTTAAAATTATTTTTACTCAAATGTACTCGTTACATGAATAATTTCAAATATTAGAGTGTACCTATATATTAGTGTTTTGATGAAATTAATTCAGGGATTAAAAAAATAATGAAATGTTTTTTAGTTTTATAATTGTTTGAATCAAATATTATTTTTTATTTATATACAAGCTAACTTTTAATAACGTCTATCGAATAGGTCAAAAAGTTAATACCTACAGTAAATAAAGTTGTACAGCAAATAAATTGCCAGCGGCAGTCGTTTAAATATTTTTTCATTTGTCTGAGGAAACCCTATTGACTCGGTAAAAAATAATTATCTATTTTTATTGTTTACTTGTTATTGGTTTGGATGAATACCTATACATTTAACGTGCGATTTTTTTTTTTAGGACGTCTTGTCCTAATCCTTTAACGTACGACAACAGCTACCTACTGCAGTCATCGATTTGCTTCCATGTATATCGCAGTATTATAAAATGTGTAAATTATTGTATGCATGCGCATTTATTACCTACTTCTGCTGCATGCCAATCACAGTAATATTAAATATATATATATACGTGAACGTTTAAGTCATACCACAATATAATAATATTAATAATAGTGTACATTATTTCGCGTTATAACTCACGTTTTGTGACCGGTCCGCGGTGCAGCAGTGCAACTCCTGCGATATTATTACATAGGTACTCGTGTGCAGAGCATGTGACGACTGCTGTTCGATTTTTGTAACACAATAACAATATTAATTATTTGTATTTCCTTCTACTAGTGTTAACAATCTCGCGCGCTAACGAAACGAATAATGTGTTTCTAGGTTATTCACGTTTGTTAAATATTAATTTTCTACGCGCTCCGGACTTGGATGTTCTAATATGTAACATGTATGAAATATCATGACGTGTATTATTTTATTGTCTACACATACCTACCTACGTATAATACACCAAGAAAATATTATTGTTGTCATCTGTTCTCTGATACCGTGTATACGACGAAACCCGACGATACTTATAACCGTACTTATTTGTTTTGCTTATAGGGCTGTTGGACGCGGAAAGGCAAGTACAATTTTTTTTTTTTTTTTCATAAGAGTGGTGTGGCTTTCATTTTGTGTACACGTATACTTACATATTTTTATGCTATGCGCTCTTGTATAGCTGCAGTATTCTCGGCACCATAACACAAAGACATTATAATATATTATTACAAGCGTATGACCTATACAACATACCTATTATTATATACAATGCGTGTGTGTGCGTGTGTATTTGTATGAATGTGTATGATAATAATTTGTATAGCCTCTACTCGTATTATATAATATAATATAATATACATATATACATATTGTGCGTACCAGCGTGTCTACATTAAACTGACGCTATGCAATTATACAAATCGCGCACGCCGCTGTACCTACCTACTATTTAGTGTTATGCTGCTACCTGCGCAAAAACAGTTCTACGCCGTATAGAAACTTTTATGAAATATCATAACAACGCTCTTCGTCTGAAAGTTTGCTGAAAACAATATGTACGTATACGTATATAGCTGCTGTAATATAATATGTACAATGTACGCGTGCATGCACGAATGGCTCTGTCGGTTAGACAATTAGTTAACACGGTGTGTAGACCGCAGTCTCTGTCTCCTCTTTAACAATATCCATACACCTACCGTCTTATGTTTCCGATCGAGTTTTCTCCGACTTTTTAGTCTAGACACGTTTTTTTTTTTTGTTTTGTTTTTTAGTTGTCTCGTTTTTTTTTTTTTGTACTTTCGTTCATAATATACTTTAGTGTTTGTTTGTTTGCAGAACTAAACGCCCGAAAACACAAACACACGGGTAAGTCACGAGCGCATCTAATCGCTTTACGATTTCACGTAACACGTAAATAATATATAACGGTGGCGCCATTTCCAAGTGTAGAAACGATATTTTATTTCTACACTTTTATTATTTGAGACGGTATGAAGTAAGTACAACTTTCTTAGCAGTGCCGATGAGAACATTTTATGTTCATACTTTTAATTTCACAACGTTTAATTCAGTCTATACTCGCGGTGATATTTCTCAAGTTGTTTTAATGAAGAAATCTTTATCGACTGCGATGTACCGTAGTTTTGGTGAACAACTCCTAAATGAGATCATATAAGTTCGACGCGGATAAAATGGACATTGTCCCTTGACCCTTATATTCATTTTCCCACTTCGAAATGGCACCCCTAATATATATTATTATTATTTATATTTACACTGCAATGCATTACTACGCCACATTATATAGTATGTATAACATATCATATATATATACATACATACATACATACATATTTAAGTAAATAGTCGTAAAAAAAAAAATACGTGTACTCAAATGAGACTCGCGCTTTTTGCGTCATGGCCTGCCAGCTCAAACAATTGTAACAATTTATTATTATTATATATGGCTATTATCGCGGTACCCAAACCCTCCGTTTATTAAAATAATTATAAACATTATTTTTATCATATGACATTAATATAATAAAATTGAATCTATGTATTTTATATAAATGTAATATGTATGTATATTATAATATATATATATATGATATATTGATATGTGCCGAACGATCTGCAGTAATGCCTTATTAAAAAAAAAAAATTCGTCTCGTCGGTTTTGTTTTATTGTATTGTCGTTTTTGCCTTCTCGGCGTGCAGAAAAGGATCTAAGATTCCTGCGGATCGGGTCCCTGAACGTACGCGTTAAACGGACCACGGAGGCGTTCAGCAACTTCCTGGGCGTCGGACACAACGCAGAGAAGATTCACAAGACTTGGGGTTCTGCCGACAACATACAACAGGTTTACTATACAATCACGACCGTGTTACGGCGTCTATAATAAATCAATAAATAAAAAAAAAAATATATTATTATCAAATCTAACGCCACGTCATTATCGACTTGCTATAATTTTATTCGACTGTGTATTTATTGTTCTTGAAATAGTGGTGTATATACGCAAGTACTGTATGATGCAGGGATGCATAGGTGCAATTAAAAAGCTTAAATTCTCGGGGGACGATGTATTTATTCTCAAAAAAATATTTACTTAAGCAAAACCTTCACCAGCACTTAATTTTAATAAATTTACCTAATTAGTCAATTATAATAGAAACCGAGTGTAAAATAAATTGTTCATAACCAACAGTAGTTACAGTATTAATCATAATTTTACTGATATTTTATCAATCAAACGTTTGGTGCCTAACTCTACTGTTGTAAATTAATTTAAAATGTTCTTACTACTGTTTAATTTTATTTGGTATATTATATCAAATTTGTAAGCGCCACTAGTAAATTGTAATACAGTTTAACGTAGTCAAAATAACCATTATTTCTATTATACAATTATTGTATAATTTGTCCGAGAGAACGGAGTCTAGTCAAGAAAGTATTACTAAATCACATTTTACGTACAAAATAAAAATCTATCATCGAGCCTTTAAAATCGTCGACAAATTTTCCGAGCTCTAGATGTATTTTTATTGGTTGGTGGGGGGGGGGTGTTCTACGCCATTAGATAAATGCATATTCGCGCGTGCACGCACCATATACTGATTGTTTTTTTTTTTTTTCGATGCAGAACGACGCCAAGAGAATGCCCCCTCCGAAAAGCGTTACGATTAAGAAGAGGAAGTCCAAACGGCCGCAAGACTTTTTGAGGAGGGCCTCGGCTCCGGCCGACCGGTCCCCAGACAAGAGGAAATCCGCTGAAATCGTCGTCACCGGCGACTCGGACTCGGACACGGCTTGCGGATTCGGCACGAATTGGCAACCGTCTTGACCGACGAGTCGTGTAGGAGGATATCACTGGCGTGTACACCCCGTGACGGTCGTAGCTTCGCTGTTTGTATTTTTCCAGACGCTTTTCTGCAATATTATTATAATTCTCTGCAGCCAAACGTTCTCGCTCGACGATTGCATCGACAACAGCGACCGCCGTCTCGTCGGCACCATTATAAATTAATTATCGCGATCAATGTCGCACTACAAGTATTATTAGCAATAAGTAACGATCGTCCGTGTACTGTAGATAACATTATTATTACTGTTGATTTTTATGTCGTCGGTCAGAGGACGTTTTATTTTTATTTTTTAAGTTTATTTTAATTTTATTTTTTGTGCGCCAACGCTTTTTATCATTTTGTTTTTTTGTTTTACTATACTATATTGTGTACAACTGACGTATAACTCGTCTGTATAATAATTAATATATACCTATATTGTGACTTAATCAGCCGAATCGAATACAGTATTGCGTATTCAGTTCGGCGGACACTTTTATGTTTTTTGAACCACTATTACTTTACCGATATCATTATCGTGACCATAAATGTGTTTGATTTTACATGCCGTTTAATGTTTATTATAATATTGGTGTTGAATTGTACTTATATAATATTAAATCTTTATTTTTTATTTTATTTTATTTATAACTATGAATATTAGTGTTAGACAATTACTGTTATTGTTAACGCGGACTTTGATAGATTGTATTATAGTCCGCGTTGTTATACTCAATACGACTTAATACGAAATACGAAATTGTGTTGACGTTCAGTTTTTTTAAGATTAATATGGTATACAGTAATAATAGCCACGTTATCGGGTTATAAATACTGCTCTCTGTAATTAATTTTATCTAGGTATTTTATTATGTCGTCCTAGTCGTTAAGCTCATTAAATGCGTACCAGTGTTATTTTCACTACGACATAACATTTTCATTAGATATCTAATTAATCAGATAGTCTTCAATAATTTTTGATCAGCCCATTTATATTCTCTTATATACCATAACTATTTTTACCTTCAGACTACAAAACATAATTATTAAAACAGTTGAATATTGACATACAATCGCCACACAAAGTAACCAGTAACCATGAAAATAATATGTTAGACACATTGTTTCGCAGACCATATCTATATTGTCATTTGTCAGGTGTGAGTTTACCTTATGAACAATTCCTAATTTCACCTAATCCAATTAAACCTTCATTCTTCCAATTTGAGTAATGTTACTTATTAAATATTTTTAAGTGTATAACTATAAATAATATAACTATAAAAATGAATATTTTGTGTAACTGAATATTAATAATAGACAATAGTGTGTGTTAACAGCCTGATTGCTTAGAGTTGACGCTTGAACTTTTACATTTTAAATAATACACAGTACATAATATGACAAATTTGGGATTATTAAATGTACATTAAATACTTATATATAGCATAATAAATTTGGGATTAAAGGTATAAGCAAATTATATATAATAATAAGATAAATAATTAAAAATAGATTGTTTTTATTTTTATTAGGAATAACACCACTCATTAAAAAAATAAATACTTATTACCAAAAAGTATACTTTAAAAAACAGCATATTATTAGTTTTTAATATTTAATCTTTTAAATACTTCTTCAACGAGATCTTCCCTTTTAATTTCATCCTCTTGTCTAGTAATAACATTTCTTAATTTAACTACACCCTTAGCTACTTCTCCTTCACCAATTATGACAGCCCATGGAATTTCATTTTCTTCACAGTGCTGCAGTTGAGCCAACAACTTGGGGTTTTTCTTATATGACTGTTCAGCTTTAACTCCGGCATTCCACAAGTCTTTACATACAGCCATCCTGTGTTCTACTAAGTTTTTCTGAGCAGCAGCTACAAACACTTGCACTTCTGTTGTACGCACCTTTTGTTTCTCTTTAGCAAGTTTGGCTTCGATTACAGTGAACAACCTTTCAACACCAATAGATATACCCACACAAGGTATGGTCTTGTTTTTTGGGTGGAACATACCAACAAGATTATCATAGCGACCACCACCAGCAACACTACCAACAGATTCTCCTTTATCTAATAAGACTACTTCATAAATTATACCTGTATAGTAATCTAAACCTCTAGCTAAACTTAAATCAAAAGACACAAGATCTTCAATTCCAAATACTTTAATGTATTCAAAAAACAGTTTCATCGATTCAAGTCCTTGTACTGCCATTTTAGACTTGGTAAGCAGTTCGTCTTTAAACAAAGCCGTGACAAGTTCATCAGTTCCATTCATCTGCACATATGTTCCAATATGATTGGCTATTTCTTCAGACAATCCTTTTTCGTTTATCATTTCGTTTTTGACTTCTTCCCACGGTGATTTGTCTAGTTTGTCTACTGAAGAACAAATTGTTCTAAACTTCTCTGTCGGCACGCCGCAAGATTCAAACAGTCCATCCAACAAGAGCCTATGATTAACTTTCACTTTGAACTTGCCTGCATTTAATGATTTCAATATTTCAACGGCGACAAACACACATTCAGCTTCCGGTATCATCTCATCATATTGGCCAGCTATGTCATAATCACACTGATAAAATTCCCTGTAACGACCCCTAGTAATTGACGGATTATCTCGCCTGTACACCTTGGCAATTTGGTATCGTTTGATGTTGGTGATTTTGTTCATGGCCAGGTAACGTGCAAACGGCACAGTCAGGTCATAGCGCAACGACAGTGATTCGCCACCTTGATCGGCAAGATCGTAGATGAGTTTTGAGTCCTCGCCGTACTTACCCGTCAGCACGTCTTTGAGCTCAAATATCGGTGTGTCGATGTTGACGGCACCATGACGCTTGAACACTTCAGTAATCCGTCCGAGTACATCGTTCCGGATGGCCGTGTGTTCGGGGCCGTAATCTCGCGTACCCTTGGGCGTCTTCAATTGGACTTTGGAAGACTTCTCCTGTGGCTTTTCTTGAGGCTTTTCCTGTTCGCCGGACATATTGATACAATACGAATTCAGACACGAGCGAAAGCCACAAAATTTCACTTTGTTCGTAAACCGTGAAAGCGTGCGTATATTTTTCAACATACTGATTAGTGATGATATTAGGTTATCACTTATCAGTCATGTCTCTGGCGACACTGATACGAATCCACTAAAATTAATTTCATAACCAACAAATTGTTCAGCTGTTATTTAAGATAATACTGCAAATTGTGATATGTGATAAAATAAATTTCAACCCAATCAGTAAAATTATGTGGTGGTGTGAATGCTAACTAAGTAAATTGCTATTGTGACGTCTACCACAACGACTATTGGTGTTTTTCATTAATTATCAATATTATTGCTTGATTTTTAGTGTCCGTAAAGCTCTAAAATAATAATATAATAACGTCATATAACGATAAAACTTAATATCACTTGTATTATCATAAGTTCTTGTAATCACTAATCACTGAATCTTTAACACCGTAAAAAGATTAAAGAATCGTTTCATCTCTATGTCGCTGTAAAATATGTAAGAAAACAATTTCCAAGTCTTTCAGTCAGTAACAAAACTCACGATGTCTTCGAGGGTGTTGCGAAAAATGGGTTTGCAGGACGATCGTGACCTGCCACCTGTTAAAGACGATGCGAGCGATGATACTGAAACGAGTTCTGGCGGTGTTAATAAAAAACGACACTTAAACATGTACGATTTGGTGAGTTTGAAAGTCTTATCGAAATATAAACCTTTACTGTTATTAGTTATTACTGTTATGTTGATCATTGCTTTACAGCTGAATAATGGTTCTATGTCCGAGTCTGAAGTGAAAGAAGACGATGATCATGAGACTACTAGTTCCGTAAACAAGAAAGATGAAAACGTGTCATATGATAAAGAAAACATTAGAAGGAAAAAGAAGAAAAAGAGAAAGAAGTCTGGTAAAGTATTGTCATCACATACTCGTAGCAGTGAAGATAATGTTGAGGTAAGTAAATAACAAATTTATCAAAAATATTAAATATAGTTGAAAAATATCATTTTTAGGATGAAGTGGAAAGGAGTGTTCGTGAAGTGAATAAAATATTGGGTGAAGTACCGGACAAAGGTGAAGATGAAGATGATGAAGCTACTTCATCACGAGATATGTTGCACAGCACCTTATTTTTAAAAAGTATATTGTCTGTACAACATCGAAATCTTAACCCAAATAATGAACTGCGTAAAATGTTTGGACGTGTTGTTCATCAAGCTGAGCTTAGGTAAAAATCAATAATTTCATTAATTATTAATTTTTAAAAATGTAGATAATAAATAACAACAAATTAATTGCTATTAAAATAATAATAATAATCTTATTCAGGTATATTTATTTATATATAGTAAATGGTGTGTAATAATTGTCGTAAATATGATTTCTGCTTAAAATAAATATTTTTTTTAAAAATAGCAATAATCAATATACAAATATAAAATTAATAGCTAAACTATCAATTTATATAGTGCATATAAAAAATATAACTGTTTTATAGTAGGCTTTATTATAAACATAATTAGTCATTAAATATGTTATGAAAAAAAAAACAACTAATGTATGAATTCAATTTTCAATTCACTATTAAATTATTGATTTCAAAAACTAGTATTTTATGGAAGGAGACTAACATAAATATCTATTTACAAGGATAATTAAGCTTTTGTTATATTTATATTATAAATACTTTACTATTTTCTTAATTTTTACCTAGTATAAATGTAATTTTCATCAAAAACGTATATAACTTATGCCAATAAGCACATACATATCTGAACTTTGCTTGAAAACTGTTTTTAATTTACCTTATTATCTAATAGTTATTAGATTACTAATTTTAAGTTAACTATCTTAATCTATTTATATAATGATATTTGAATGAGTATATTTTGGTTTTGTGCAAAAAGTATTAATGAAATATAAATTTGGTATGATTGTTTACATGATCAAATATTATGTAATTGCTAATCTAATAATTACTGAATTATAACCAAAAAGTGAATTAAAATAGAGACAGACATTTTATGTTAATAATAATGTTTTCAATTTTTAGCAAACGCAAGTTTAGAGGAAGAAATCATTTAAAAACCACATGGTTGGTAACACCCAAAGACAATTGGCCTACCGTTGGAAAATCAGGTACTTACATTTATATTTTAGTGACATAATTGTTTAAATCACATAAAAATGACAATATATTGTAGGTTCAACTATGAAATATTTGGAAAGCAAAAATGGTATTATGTATTTTGCCTTTGAGCATAGTCCAGAATACCAACAAGTACAGTCGCAACTCTATACAGCTGTGTCTAATATGTCATCTGGAAATTTGGTGGTTGGTTTCTATTAGATTTACGCTATTTAATAAGATATTTTATTTATGTTAATTTAATTTTAGAACATAATCAATAACCATCCATACCATGTTGACGTACTATTACAAATGACAGAATGGGCACGACTTAGTGAAGACTTGCCAGTTGCAGCTGAACTAACTGAACAGGCATTGTACTCATTGGAAAATTCATTCCATCCCATGTTTAGTTTGTCAAATGGAAAATGTCATATAGACTACCGTTTACATGAAAATAGGTATTTTTTTATATTTATAAAAAATATATC